AACAGAGGTCCTAGGAACACAGACATACAGGGCAGTGTAAGAAAAAACAGGAGCCATAACTACTGAGAATAATATTTTAAAACGGACAAAAATCAGCATCAAGTCCACCTTCCAAACTGCATTTTCTAAGAGGCAGAAGTTACCACCTTAACACAACACACCAAYGAGAGGTGCATCACCACAATGTTCAAGGTGTCAAGCATGGTAGCATGACAGCACTAAGGGTCACRCGCCAAAATCGTCTACAAAGAGACTGCTCCACTTCCCTTCCTGCCCATTTCATTACCTGGCCAGAGCTTTATGCCTCCGGTTTATGTAATTTAAATCCTCAACACCTGCCTTCACGAAGGAAAAATTTAACCACAGAAATCACCTCAATCGGGAGACAGTTGTGACGATCTATAGACTTCCCATCAGCACCACTGCCTTCTAACCACTCAGTAAGAAACCTATCCATGCCTGACCTTCTGCAGTGAACTGTGCTAATCCCTGCCAAAACAGGGAAACCCAAAACMCCAAAACACCCAAAAACACAGTGTGATGTTTCTGAGCACCACGAGGGAACGGGAAGACCAAGCAGCTACCAGGTTTCTTGGCAGAGTAACCATCCAGACACAGCCCGAGCCTCTTCTTGGATTGYTTTTATCTTCAGGAATGCCGGAGAAGACCCTAAATTTGCCAACTTCAGCCGGGATCCTTTCAACACTTGTGCTCGTGTTTAGCTTGAGCAATGAGACATCCCACTCGGGTAGGGGGAGGCTGAGGTGGGAAGACAGGCCCGAAGCCTCTCAGAAACGAGGGGCTCCTCTTGAGCCAAGGCAGAACCTCCCAAACTCGGGCCCGGCTCAGCCGGCCTCTGGAAGCAGATGGGGAGTTTGACAACACGACACAACCAAYGTGTCTTTCAAGCTCGTGTGCCAGCAATGCGACTGGTCTCAGCAACCAAGGGGTTTCTTTTGAAAACGGCGTTGTCATCCCGATAAACACAGCTGGAAGGGAAGCACATGCGAAAGCTCCGAGGAGCCACAATTTAGGGCTGAAACCTGGCCGAAAACGTGCTTTTCCTCACCGCTTCGGCTAAGGAAACGACTCGGAACCTGGCAGGCTCTGAAGGGCTTTGGGAACTCGTGTTTCTGGACTGCACCGCAGTGGCCGGCGTTACCTACAGGGCCCACGGGCCGGTCGTGCCGCTGCCCAGCACCGTCCCGCTGCTCCCAGCACTCCCCCTGTTGACCCGCCGGCACGGAGCGATCCCTTCCCGCTCCGGCGCGGAGGGGACGCCACCGGGTACCGGGAACACCACCGGGTACCGGGAACACCACGGGATACCGGCGGGGAGGCTCGGCCTCCGAGCAGCCCGGCGCCTCCAGCATCCCGGCCTCCCCTACCCGCCAAACGGGCTAAATTGAGGCGATACAGGTAAAACCCCCGGTTTTGCTCCGAGCCGCTCCGACGTCTCCTTTTCGCCGTGATTTATCCCCGCTGAAATCACCCCAGGCGCTAATGATTTAAGCCTGCGATATTCAGACGTTTGGCCAAGTACATCAGCTGCCCACGATGCTGCCGGCGCGCGCCGAGCGCGGCCACAGGCGCTGCGGACGCAGAGGAGCAGGATATATTGGAAAGGGACTGCAGCAGCGGCCGTCAGGGCAGCCATTTGATCCCTTCGCAGCTCAAAAYGCAGCTCTGCCTCAAAGGAAAGGGCAGAAAACGTGAGCCTTACAAATCACAACGGGACCTGTGGCTGCGCAGAGCAATAGCAGAGCGCCACACTCGAGCGAATGAGCAAAAAACGAGCCTGCATTTTAACACTTGGAAAAAAAACTAAGAGAATTAGAGGATTCAAATTCAATATAACCTTGCTCACTTAAGAGATCTCCCAGTTGCCATTAGCCGGCRAGGAGCCCTGCTAATAAAGATGAAACGCGTATAATGGCATCCGTATTTACATAGCGCCGGCGTTAAGCGATGCAGGCACCAGGAAGCAGAGGCTTGCGAGGCGCCTTGCACGGCCGCCCCATYGCCGTCCCCGCTCCCACACCACAGCCCTACGGGAGAAAGGACGTGGCCGGAGGAGAGGATAAGGGCCGTGCCGGCTCTAACTTTCCCCCAGACGGGTCAACCTGCAGTTTTTCCATCAGAAGCAGCGCAGAAAACCACCCCAGCGCAAGGCTGGAGCTTCCCAACGCTGGCGGCTCCTTAAGGTTCATTCCCGTCAAAAAGGTCTCTCATTCCAGTCAAAAACGTAGGAACGCGACGGGAGCCGCTCGGTGGGCGCTGGGGTTGCCAGCGGCGCGAGGGGCACCGCGACACCGGCCCGGCGGCATTGTCGGGCCTCGCCACGGGCTCCGGCACCGGCGCCTCGACGGGACGGGCGTCCGCTCGGAAGCGGCGGGGAGGAAACACCCGCCGCTTCCCAACGCCTGGCTGCGGGGCGATGGAGGCGCGCGGCGGGAAGGGGCGGCCAGGGGCCGTTTTTCCAGGGGCGCGCTCCCCTCCCGCCTCCCTTCCCGGCGGACGCGGCGCGTTCCCGGCACACGGGAACGGTGTCAGCCGCACCGCGGGTGCCACGGGGCAGCCTCCGGTGGGGAGAATTCCAGAAGGCGGGAGCGCCCCAAAACGCCTGGCGAGGGGCGCGCGGGGCCCCCGCGCCCCCGGGGGCCCTTCCGGGGCGGCGGGAGCGAGCGGCCGCTGACAGGCGGCGGCGGGACGTGCCAGCCATCTTAGGCTGCGGCGGGAGCGGCCCGGGGGGCGGAAACGGGGGTGCCCCCCCCACACCGCCAAAAAAACAGGAAAAATCGTCAAAAATAGCAAGGGGAAAATAAAGTTGCTGGAGCGGCGCGCGGGCGCGGCCGCCGCCGCCTCCTCACCTGCCCGCCCGCCGCGGAACAAAGCGGCGCGGCCGCCCGCCGCCTCTCACCTGGGTGCCGGGGCGCGGCGCATCCCTCCGCCGCCGCTGCC